CGGGTGCCGGCTTCGGGCGCCGCAGAGCCGGGAGGGGCGCCGCGCCCGCCGCAGCCTGCAGCCTTCCCGGGAGCTGGGGGCGCCCATGACGGCGGCGGCGACGGTGCTCCGGGAGGGCGTGCTGGAGAAGCGCAGCGGCGGGCTGCTGCAGCTCTGGAAGCGGAAGCGCTGCGTGCTCACCGAGCGCGGGCTGCAGCTCTTCGAGCCCAAGGGCACGGGCGGCCGGCCCAAGGAGCTCAGCTTCGCGCGCATCAAGGCCGTGGAATGCGTGGAGAGCACCGGGCGCCACATCTACTTCACGCTGGTGACCGAGGGCGGCGGGGAGATCGACTTCCGCTGCCCTCTCGAGGATCCTGGCTGGAATGCCCAGATCACCCTGGGCCTGGTCAAGTTCAAGAACCAGCAGGCCATCCAGACCGTGCGCGCCCGGCAGAGCCTCGGGGCCGGGACCCTCGTGTCCTGAACCGTCAGGCTTACCGTCTGACCTGCGTGCTCCCCACCGACGCGACGCCCTGAGGTCATGTCAGGTAAGTTCCCCACTCCCACGGGGGGACTGAGCCCTCTTTCCTCCCCTCCCTTCTCCTCTCTCCCCTGCAGAGAATGGGGGACTCCCACCAGGACTCTGCTTCAAAGCTGGACCGTCCTAGGGCCAACAGCGAGCAGGAGCTCAGGAGCCTGGGCATGGGGGGCCTTTCCCCTGGGGCACTGGGCAAGTGGGTGTGAATGTGACCCTGGTGTCTGAGAGCAAGGTGGGTGGCATGGGCCCTCCCACAGATTGGTTCTGCCTTGACTCAGGTGGAGGGAGGCTGGCCTGCACGTTCCCTCACCTGCTGGGCCTCTGCCCCGACCCAGGGCAGGGCTCCAGGGCTGTGGCTTTCTGAGAGCTGGGGGAACGGAAGGGGAACAAGTTTGCTCCCTCATTCTGCTAGGATGAACCCTCTTCATAGGAGAGCTGGGGCATGGAATTGAGGCAGAAACAGTCTCCCTCCGTTAGCGGAGTCATCAAGGGCTGGGAATGGGACCAGGGAGACCCAGCGTCCAAGGTGGGGCCTCGGCGGGAGGGCTTGGCCAGGCTGGGCCCGAGGCTCTGCTACCCATTCTTGACCGTGGGTTTGGGGTCCTAGGGCTGAGCTGTTGGGAGACCAGGGGAGTTGCAGGGTGGGCAGGCCAGGCCACTGATGCCCAGGGCAGCGGGCCTGTCCACCTGACCCTGAGTGGCAGCCAATGCCTGGCTGGGCCAGAGGAGGAGAAGCTGGAGGAGGGGGTGGGGCACGGGGCTGGGCGGGCAGATGGATGCAGGATGGGGTCATGATTTGTTATTTGGGCATCTTAATCCTCCTTGAGCAGTAGGGCAGGGGATGAGGGGCGGATGTGTGGGCAGGAGGGCCCAAGAATAGAACGTAGAAGCCCTGGACCCCAGCCCTGTGCCCTCCTCCCCAGATGCCTCTACCTCCCATGGGAATTAGGAGCAGGGCTGAGGAAAGGTTTATACTGCTCTGGTTTTATTTTCTCCCGTGGAAACCTAGACCCCCCTCGCCCCGGCTACTGCCTCCCACACTACGTCCCCTCCCTGCCCTGCAGCTTCAGCATCTTAACAAGTAGAGCCCCAGCGAGCCCAGCTGTCTGGTCCATACCCCCCTCGGAGCCTCCTGTCCACTCCTGTCACGTGGCAGTGAGGGTTAGCCGAGAGCCCGGGAGGAGGCAGACCTGCAGGCCTTGGGGGCTGGGAGGAAGCGGGTCCTCCGTGGATCACAGTGTATTGCACACGTACTAGCTCCTACGTGTGTCCTGCTGTGGAGAAAGATGGGAAGCTGTGGTGTGAGACAGTTCTCAGTGGATGCTCGGCACCCAGGGTCTGCCCTGCCCTGACTTCTCTTCTTTCTTGCCAGCTTCCTTGCCCTTTTGGACTCATGGGGCACGACTGTGCTCCCTTGGGCAAGGCTGAGCCATGGACGTGCAGAGGAGGCATTGGAGCTGAAGGAACGGATGGGCCCGGGAGGAGGGCAGAAGACCACGCAGGGCTGAGGATGAAGCTTCAGCCCTTGGACGCTCAGACTCTCAAGACGTACATGACTCATACATCATGATGAGAGCTGGCAGCAAAGCCCCCTCCCCGGTGGCCCTGCCACTGCTCTGCAGACTGCTGTTAGTGCCCAGCTCAGTGCCGAGCCCGGGGGAGGGTAGTGCCCCCGGGGTGCTAAGCCAAAGCCTCGGGACTCAGGAGGCCGGCCTGCTACCAGACAAGAAACTGCTTTGGGATCTCCTCTGGAGTCACCTTGGCTGGGGGGCTGATGGGCTTGAGGCCCACCTTTGGGGGTCTCCTGCTGCTTGGGTCCTTTTGGGACCTCCACCCATCTGGGCCCTCTCTTTGCACAGTTCTTCTCTCCTGCCCGTCTTCCCCCCACTGTGGTACTGGGCCTGGAGGGGGTGGGGGTGGGGTAGGGGTTTGGCCATTAGCATTTCATGCCCATCCCCAAATGAAGATGCCCTTCCCAGAGCAGTGACTACACTGTTTGCTGAGTAAAATTCTTTGCCCACAAAGACCCTGTGCTTGAAGCGTCTCTCTCCCCACCCCCACTTTCCCCATCAATCCACAGCCCATTCTGAAGTCTCCAGCCTGGGTAGTAGGGGAGACACTGCAGCTCCAATAGTCATGGCCTCTGTGGTCCTAGGAAGAGGGACCACGAGGCCTGGATTGCAAGATGTTACACCCGCCAACTCAGTCTCAACAGAGGCCTCTTCTCCAGGAGCATGCCTGCCCCTGGTCTCCTGGGAGGTGGCTCATCTCCCTGTCATTTACACACTTGGGCTTTTTACATCTGTACAGTCAGGCTTCCTTACTGGCTGGCTTAAAGGAATAATTCCAGCATGGAGGAAACAGGCACAGAGAAGTAGCTGTCCTACACACAGAAACTGTTAATCCGGTAACCCCAAGACCCTTCCGTGTCCACCCGAGCCTGGCCTTCTCTGTTGCAAAGCAGTGGCCTGCTTCTGAGTCTGGAAGGAGCAAGGGGGCTGAGTGGCCCCTTCAACAATTTGAAGTCTCTTTAATAACTTTTTTGTGTTTTGTTTCCTGTTAAATTTCTTCTACTGTCCCATCCAAACCTCTCTGTCCTATGTCTCAGATGTCAGAGCCCTCAGGAGCATCTTGCTCGTTTGGTTATAAACTACATCTCACAATTGAATGAGAATTTACAAATTGCAAAGCAATTTTTACAAATACCTGATTTATTATCATTAGGCTGTACACTCAGCCCGTGATAGCTTCACCTAACATGGCAGATAAGCATCCTCTTCCTTCCAACCCTGATCAGTGCTGAGAAACATCTGGGCTCGACTAGGGTGCTGTGACCAATTGGTGATGTGTGCACGGGCTCTGGGAGACAGGCGGGGAGCCTGGTGGCACTGACTTAGGTGGGAGGTGAGGGGTGGAGAGAAGATGGTGTCTGCCGCCCGTCCTTGGTTCCAGCTGTGTGACTGGGGAAGGGTTGGCTCGTCCATCTTCCTAGAAAACAGCAGCCTTGAGTATAGAATTCTAGCTCTTCCATTCAAACCCGAAGCTGAGATGGTGGGGATTCAGGCATAAAGAAAGAGGAGTCCAGGCCCTTGGGAACAGGAGCGTGTTAGAGAGCAGAGGGGATGGGGAGGCAAGGCACGTGCCTTCCGCAAACACACTGAGTGCCTCTTCCGAGCCAGGACCATGCTCGGTGCTGGGGGTGGGAGATGGAGACAGGATCTGCTCCCTGCCCCGAGGAGTTCAGAGTCTAGCGGGGAGACAGTGCCAGCTGGGGTTAACAGCTGGCTCAGGGGCGCGGGTCGCTACTCCTCTGCCCAGCGCCGTGTTGGCCTTCACAGAGCTCAGAGGGGGGCTCCCCTTGGAGGGAGCCTGGCTGCAGAGGGCAGTGGAGGTGTGGCCAGTGTGGGCATCAGGGACAGGGGCACCCGCAGGGTGGAGGGAGGTGGCTCCCTGCTTCCTCAGAATACCCAGCCCTGGGGGCTCCAGGGTGCTCTGGGTCTTGCCCACACCCAGCTTCTGTTTCTCCCTCTGCTGGGAGAGCCCCAGCCCGTCTGAAGACTGTGCTGCTGTTAGGGCCCCCAGCACAGACCCCGGAGTGTCATACGCCCTCAGTACGTTAATCTAGGTGGTGGCGGTTACGGTGGGGACGATCGTTCGCTGCGATCTGTAAGAGCCCTGCATCTTCCTGAAGGCTCTGAGGACTCACAGCACAGAGGTCTGGGGCTCACACACCCAGTCTTTTTTTTAAGATATGTGACCTCTTTGGGGAGTCTCTGCTGGGGAAGGAGACCCCTGCTTCCTGGGCTCAGGGGCATCCTCATTGCTCCGGCACCTCCAAATTCTAAGACGGAGCATGGCCCTCACCCTAGGAATGCTTGGCTGGACTACGGACAGGGTCAGGGCCTTTTCGGGGCACAGACAGGCCCTGGCGGTGCCAGCAGACATGCGTGAGATGGAAAAACTGCTCAGTTGGGCCTGAGGATGCTGTAAGGCAGGGAGGAGCCGCCGTCTCCCCCTGCCCTGGCAGCCCTGGCCTCACCCCCGCCCGGTACGTGAGTCATCGATGGGAAAATGAGACAGGCAAGTCCCAGCCCGGCAACTGGGAGGCATGAGGCCAGGGGTGGGGAGGTCGAGGGGGAAGGGATGGGTTCCATCTGGTCAGAGTGAGCGAGGCTGGGAGCCGAGGCTTTGGCAAGAGCCAGCCTGTTGCAAGAGACGAGTGCAAAGAGGCGGAATTAGAGTTCATGAGCCGGGATTGCAGCAGGAGGGAGTAAGGGTAGATCTGCAGGGTATTACGGCGTGAAAGCCTGAAGTCTGGCCTTCCCCGGCAGGCGGGGAGGTATAGGCACCGTGGCCAGTTGGCCCACCAGGGCCAGGCCCAAGGACTGGGCAGGACCGTGTTTGACTGTGTGCCAGGCTGCCGTGGGGCTGCCCGGGGAGCCCTGTTTTGGCCTCCTCCATCTCCCTGCATGGTCTGCATGGTCCACTAGAGTTCCGTCCAGAATGCAATTCATTGTCCTGCTTAAAACCTCCAGGGGCTGCCCCACCACAGAGGGAGGAAGTCCGGGCTCTTCGGAAGTGTCGCCCTCCACAATCAGGGCTCTTTCCAGGGTCTGTCTCCACAGTCACCATGCCCGGGCCCTGCATGCAGACCGCCGCCTTCCAGGACTGGCACTCCCGGGCCTTTACACCCACACTCCTACACATTTTTGTATCACTGGCTCACCACCTCTGAGGAGCCGCCCTGCTTTGCCTGCAGTCCGAGCCGAGTAGCTGCCCTGTCCTCTGTGCAGCCACAGCTCACCCATGACTCGCACAGCACTGCAGTTGCTGGCTCTCTTGTCTGCCTGTCCCACTAGACGGTCAGCTCCTGCTGTTTGTCATTCCTGCTGCCTCAAAGTATCTGGCACACAGTCGGTTCTTAATAAGAGTAATGGCAAATGGTATAGTGCTTTCTCTGTGCCAGGCATTGATCCAATAATGTACAGTTATTGAATCAGGTAATGCCCCAAGAACT